TCAGTCTCAGGTGGCATTTAGAGATGCTGGCTAATTAGTCCTAACCACCATCCGCCACTGCAGGCGGATCAGTTCACCTGCAGAGGTGGCAGTAAATAGCCCTGTTCCATCAACAGCCTGGAGGTGCAGGAATGAAGGGACAGAAAAACACAGAGGCAAGATCCAAAAGCCGCACTTGTGGAGCTCCGTTCTTTCCTCTCCTGCTTGTCTATGGTGTCTTGGCTGGAGCAGCTTTGTGGTTGTCTGCTGCCTTAAATCCACCACCCAGCAGCCTATCGACACACAGGCACTTTCTAAAGAGGGCCCACACCTCTTCTGGAAAATTGCTAGGCAGGTTTCTGAGTTCAAGAAGCAGCTGGAGGACAGCACTTCAGATCGGGCACGCCAATCCCAGCTCTGAGACTGAATCTCAGTGCGGCACCAGACCTCCGCATCCCCGGCCGGCGTGCCAAGCAGCAGCGGTCCGCTCCATCCAGGGCAGCGCTCGGCCGAGCACAGGATGGCTGTGGGCCACAGGAGCTGGCTAACACCGGCCTCCTGCCACCCCTCCCTGCCACTCGCACCCCCCCACCCAACTACCACTGCGAGAAGTTTCTCTCCTTCCTTCCCCATCACGCTCCCGGCACCCAAACCAGCTTAACGCACAGAAGAAAACAGGCACAGTATCCACGTACAGGGACTAAAGGCGACTGCCGGCATCCTCCCAGGCGACCGTACCAACTTGCTGCTGCATCCTTCAGCGGCCGTGGCCAGCCAGGGTCCCAGCACAGCCCAGCTCTGCAGCAGCCAACTTTTTGGGAAGCCGCTGTTTGAAAAGCTGCTGCCCTCTTTGTTTGGTTGGGGCAGAGCCAGCAAAGGCTGCCGGGAAGGTCACCCAGGAGGAGACTCATGTACTGGGAGGGAGGAGCCCTCCTCTTAACTCTTTCGGAGCAGCCTTGCTCCAGGGCCACGACAAGCCACAGCACCTTCGCAGTCTCAGGGCACAGACCTGCCGTCCAGCCCGTCCCGGACCGCAGCTCAGACGTGGCCGGTGGCCCCTGTGTCAGAGGATGGAGGAGAAACCCCGCAGGAGGCAGCAGTGCCATCCCTAGAGGTCCCATCCAGACCTGGAAGAATCGGCTCCTTGCGCAGGACTGCAGCGGTGATGGTGGGCTGGCCTGCGCCAAGCTGAGCTGCTGGCATATGGGGCAGAAGGTCGTGGCGGTGCTGGTCGCTCTGAAACTGAAATGGACGTGTGCTCTGACCTGTTTTCACCTCGGCTTGTGCCTTCAAATGAGATCTTCAGCTATCTCTTCTTGCTCAGGCTTGGCCTTAAGGCTTAGTCCTGCCAACTGCTAGCAGCCGCTGAGGGGAGATCAGACCCCCGGCACCCTGCCACCACCGTCCTGGGGCTGGCCCTGCTGCTCACAACTCGGCAGGGAGCTGCTTCAGGGAGAGAACTGGCAGGAAACGTCTTTTTTTTTGCAGTACAACTATTTTTCTGCTGCTTCAGTGAACTCACCTGACCACCCTTGGAGAGATGAGAGCCATTATGAGAATAAGGGTGTGCATGGCTTTGGGATCAGCCAGCCATTACAGCTTTACTACAGCCGAGAGAGAAGAAAATTTTAAACATCATGCCCTAAGCCTAACAGCAGTGAGCACAGACGAGTGGGAACAAGCCTGGTCTCCATGCCTCCTGCCCAAGGAAGCGGAGCGTCTCCCGCAGGACCTTCTCTTTGCAGTAGTACTTGGGGTGGAGGCTGGATGGGGACTGAGCACTAAAAGGTTGTCACTAAACAGTACAACGTGCTGAAAGCCATAGGTCCTGCGGGTAAGGCAGGCTGAGACTTCTGGCTTATCTTTATGAGGCCTAATCTTTAGTCCATATTTCCATTTATTGAATCAAGATAGTGGTACTTGCCATCTTTCATAAAGTGGTTTTCAGATTTGCAGCGAAAATGTGGTATAGAAGAGGTTCGGATGTATCATATCTTGCTGCCCAGCTGTGGCTGCAGTTGTTACCTAATGAGTGCGTTCATTAAATATTCCTTCACTCAGTGGTTACTCTAAGTATGGGCAAAAATGGTTAGCACAAAAATGGGCAGCACAAAAATGGACTCAAGATTTTAATAAAACACCAGAAAACTCAAGAATTAAAGTACTTAAAGTACTTAAAATTTCATGTGTAACAAGTTAGTTGGAAGAAAGGAGAGAATAACAGCCATGCTGGGTCAGCCCACAGATTCCTTTGGGACAGCACCCCGTCTCCAGCAAGCTGACTAGCAGATGCCTGGGTAGAAACATAAAAGCAGTGCAAGCACGTAGTCGCACTTCCCAAAGTATGCTCCCTCCAGTGCAGCACTGAGAGACTTTCCAAGAAGGCGAAAGGTATCCTGGCCTCTATCAGAAATAGTGTGGCCAGCAGGACTAGGGAAGTGATCGTCCCCCTGTACTCGGCACTGGTGAGGCTGCACCTCAAGTACTGTGTTCAGTTTTGGGCCCCTCACTACAAGAAAGACACTGGGCTGCTGGAGTGTGTCCAAAGGAGGGCAACGAAGCTGGTGGAGGGTCCAGAGAACAAGTCTTATGAGGAGCGGCTGAGGGAACTGGGGTTGTTTAGCCTGGAGAAAAGGAGGCTGAGGGGAGACCTTACCGCTCTCTACAGCTACCTGAAAGGAGGTTGTAGAGAGGTGGGGATCAGTCTCTTCTCCCAAGTAACAAGTGATAGGACAAGAGGAAACAGCCTCAAGTTGTACCAGGGAGATTTAATTGGATATTGGGAAGAATTTATTCACCGAAAGGGTTGTCAAGTATTGAAACAGGCTGCCCAGGGAAGCGGTTGAGTCACCATGCCTGGAGGGATTTAAAAGACATGTACACATGGTGCTTAGGGACATGGTCTCGTGGTGGACTTGACAGTGCTAGGTTAACAGTTGGACTTGATGATCTTAAGGGTCTTTGCCAACCTAAATGATTTTATGATTCTAAGGTCATCATACAGCCTACCAATAGTTTTCAACAGACATAGTCCAGCTTCTCTTTGAACCCATGTAAAATTTTAGTAGGCTACAATATCCCACGGCAGGGAAATCTGCCCTTTAACAAGATATTGTGTGAAGAGCAACATCCTTTTGTTTTTTTTCTGAACCTGCACATAGCTAGTTTCATGTAACACCCCCTTGGGTTTGCAGCAGAAGAAAAAACAAACCAATTTTTCTCCTTGCCATACATGATCTTACAGATACCTGTCCTGTTCTCACTCACATTCTGTGAGGGAGGTAAACAGGGCATATTCTTAACACTGCGTTCAGGAGAGCTGTCTTCCTTTCACAGAGCAGCACAAGGATTTGAATCTTAGGAATTTAACAAAAATGCCTATGATTGTCCCTCAGCTGACTTCTCAGAAAGTTTTGTCATGTTTAAGGCCCTGCATTAGGAATGGGATCAAAGTACACTTCTGACTTTGTTCCTCTGAAGTCAGAAGTCGGGCAGCCTGTACAGCTGGAACACAATGTGACCAGGTCAGAAGATCAATGCCTCCAGTGGCAAACTTCCTGCTAAAATCACAGCATGCATGTTTTGGCAGGGAAAAAAAAAAAAAAGAAAAAAAAAGAGAGAGAGAAAATGTTCTTCCCACATAAATCTTTGGATTTATGAAATGCCACAGGATGGTGCTCCGTCTTAGGTCTTTAATTCTTCTCTTCATGTTTTTCTTGCAAGTCAGGCAGCAGGTGAGTCCCTTCTCAGTGGCACCAACCCTTTCTGCTCCCTGTCCCCTGAGAGGACACATCTCCCACAACCTTGAATTAGAGACTTGCATGTTGTGAATCTGCAACCTGGACATGACACTGTGCCCAGTATCTACCGATAAAGCTTGCTGGGTTGTTACTTATGGAAAATCAAGAGCTGAAGTCCTGGCTGCTACTATTATTATTATTATTAAGCAGGACACGGTTTGTAGGAAGACTGAATAACTTTTATTATACCAATAAGTGTAGCTGCAAAAATCAGACAAGCAAGCCCAGTACAAATGGGGCTAGTTGCTCACCATTCCACGGAGCTGGGCAGGTCAGGCATGCCTGAATGAATGGGGCTGGCACCCACAGAGCTGAGGCACCTCTGGCCTGGGGGAACATTGGGTGCTCTAATAAACGAGATCAGACTTTTCCAGCCACAGACCTTGTCCTGCCAGTCAGTGTCCTTTGACTGTCATGGCCACAGCGCAGTATCACTGGAGCTCTCTGATGAGCAGTTGATGCCTCTCTCTCTGCAGTAACGCACTGTTTTCTTCCCTTCCCACTCCTGCCCTCGGTTGACTGACCCACTCCCCCCCTTACCCCCCCCAACACCCTGACTGACCCGCTTCCCCCCTTACTCCCCAGACACCATGACTGACCCGCTCCCCGCCTTACCCCCCCCAGACACCATGACTGACCCGCTCCCCTCCTCGCCCCCAACAGACACCATGACCCGCTCCCCCCCTTACCCCCCCAGACACCCTGAC